AAGGAAAGCCCATTAGAATGACAACTGATTTCATAGGACAAAGAATAAATGGAAAGAGCTCAGAGCAATGCATTCAAACGCCTAAAGAGAATGCCCTTATTGGCTAATGTACACAGTAAAAATATCTACCATAATTGAAGGAGAAAGAAAAATATTCTTATGAATGAAACAGTGTCAAACAATAAATAACAAACATGCCAACAGAGAGCAAAATATGGGAAATAGTATTTAACCCTGAAGAGATGGCATGTGCTATTCCAGCTAGTAAAGCAGACATGTTAACTCAGACTTTTACCTCTACTTCTGCTGCATGAAATCCAATCCCACAATCCATGCCCAGCTGTGCAAGAGAATACCTGTTACAAGTCCATCTTCATTGGATAGAACAGACCTTTTATTCTTAACCTCCTTCCATCCACTCTTTTCTTTTTCCCCAACTCTGGCGGGAACTGCCTAGAAACTCACAGGCCATTCCTGCCAGGCAAGAATCTGCAGATCTTAACCTCTCCCTCTGTCTCTCCAATTCCAATTCACTAGTCTCAGTGCCAGCTCTGCCCAAATAATTTCTGGTCTGATGGATCCCACTTTTCCCACCCCAAGCCTCCCCTCAAATCCAGAAGAATCAAAGACAAAGACCACACAGGGTAAACAAGCACATAGGCTTGTTGCTGATCTTCACCACACTCTGTTCTTCGAGTCTCACCCATAGGTCTGAAAAAAACAAGCAAACAACTAAACGAAAAAGAACTCCATCTGTTTCCTTTCTTTTTCCCCCTGCACATATTTACAGTGGATCACCTAACTGATTGCTTTGTTCCTACCTCAAACTCAAGCAGGAACTCCCTGGAACACATAGGCCATCCTGACCAGGGAAGAAAGGGGACTTCAATTATTCCTTAATTCCTCCCTTCAAGTCCTATCTTCCAGTCTCATCCCCAATTCTGTGGCATATTTTCTGCTATGGCCTCTCATTACTCTCAGTATATTTATATGTTGATGTTATCTGTGAAATCAATGATAACAATGCTACAGTCTGTAGAACACAGAAAAAAGAACAAAGTATGGGGCTATAGGAAACAGATTTTATTAAGAGAGAGAAATTGAAAAAAAGTTATAGATATATGGGAGACGGCAATGGAAGAATCAAGTGTGCAGGGGGAGTGGAGAGGAAGTTTTAGGATAAAATACAGGAAGAGATAGATGAAATTAATTGGTATTTGATAGGTACTCTGGTAACCAAATATAGTAGAACCTTCCTAAAGTATATACATATGTGAGAGCCATCTAAATGGAATTGCTAAGTATATAGATATATGAAGGAGTTGTGAATAAAATGAAATTGTCAAATAATGGGGGAGACACAGTTCCAAATCACAGTCTGTTATTACCAAAGAAATTTTCAGTACAAGGATTGGAATAAATTTAATTGAATTGTTGGCCAAAGGACCCCACAGGGATACCCAAATAAACCAGGCTATTGATAGGACTAGAGCTTCCTCTCTAGGAATTGACAGCAAGGTTTCATTGTTTCAGACAATATCTACACAATTCATTGAAAATGGAGATGTCAGCTATTGCCTACACAAAGACTTTAATCCCTATTTTCTTGTGTAATCGAACATGTTCTATATACTCTTAGAAGAGAAACATAAACAGCAAGTAAACCCCAAGCCCTTTATCTTCAACTGCATTATGCATGTAAGATATGCCATGGCAAGGGTATCACAAAGCTTGTTTTAGTAAGCAACCACTATCTGATTTGACTTAAGGCCAACTACTCAAGATGGAAAGCAAAACTGACAGTACTTAGGTGATCAAGAATGTAAAATCAGATAGCCCAGGAACCTAGAGTTAAAGAAAATAATATTGGTCTAAAAATAAAAAAAAATATGTAATGACAAAAAAATGACTCCTTGAGATATTCTGCTAAACTTACAGATCAGTGTCTTGTTCAGATTGTATTAGAGAAGCTTGCTCCTGCAGCAGATGAGAAAAAATATAGAGATCTATAGTCAGACATTACACAGTGAGTCAGAGATCTTGGAACACTCAGCCTGAAATGGGATGTCTGTATCAAATCACTCACCTTATAGCTCAGGAAACCCTGCAAAAGAAGAGGTGGAAATAGTACGGGGGATTGAGGACGCCAAGAAAACAGGGTCCTCTTGTAGCAACTCTGTCTGTGTACCACCAGCTAGCTCCGAAATAATGACTCAGAGACATCTTATTAAGCTTGGCTTAAGATTAGATGTATCCCACTAGCTCTTGTAACTTAACCTGTTTTGATTAATCTATGATCTGCCACATGGCTTTGTTACCTGTAGTCTATACTATATGTCTGATGATTTAATGTCTTCCTGGTATCTCCTCTTCACCTATATTTCTTCTCTTTCTTTCCTTGGAAACCTCACCTGTTCTCTGTCTAGCTATTGGTCATTCAGCTTTTGACTACACCAATCACAGAAACAGGTTTTCACACATCCTACATACCCCTTCAATCAACATTGTCAATTCTCAATGAACTCAGAGAGATGAAAATAACAAGCACAGCACCTGCATAGATCTGCAACAAGTTTTATATGTGTATGTGTATACACATATATGTATGCATATATACCTACATTATGTTTACACACACATGTATAAAATTGGTGTGGGAGATACTTCTGTCTATGTGTTGCTTTTATTGGTTAATGAGTAAAGAAACTTGGCCTGATAGGGTATAACAGAGATAGGTGGGGAAAAGTAAACTGATGGAGGAAGGTCATTGGCTAATAAAAAAACTGCCTTGGCCCATCTGATAGGGCAGAATTTAGATAGGCGGAGTAAAGAGAACAGAATGCTGGGAGGAAGAGGAAGTGAGCTCAGAAACCATGCAGCTGCTCTCAGAGGCAGACACGATGAAACTCCCACCCAGGATGGACGTAGGCTAGAATCTTCCCGATAAGCGCACCTTGGGGTGCTACACACATTATTAGAAATGGGCTAGTCCAGGTGCGAGAGTTAGCCTAGAAGAGGCTATATATAATGGGCCAAGCAGTGTTTAAAAGAATATAGTTTGTGTGTTGTTATTTCGGGTAAAGCTAGCCGGTGGCGGGAGCTGGGTGGCGGAATGTTGGGAGAAAGTAGGCAGAGTCAAGGGAGAAGCCTTGGAGCTTCTGCCGAAGACAGATACACTGAAACCTTGCTGGTAGGCCATGACCTTGTGGTGATGCACAAATTAATGAAGATGGGTTAAATTAAGATGTAAGAGTTAGCCAATAAGAAGCTAGAGCTAATGGGCCAAGCAGTGATTTAATTAATACAGTTTCTGTGTGACTATTTCTGTTCTGAGCAGCCGGGACAAACAAGAAGTCTCCCTCCAACAAATTGGCACAAATGTGGCAAACTAAATCCACTTATAAACATGAGAAAGCTTGATTATTTCAGTTCTGGTGGCCGGGAAACAAGCAGCCCCCTGCAGCATAAAATGACTTCTAATTTAATGGTTTTGTGTGATTCCTGACACTGACAATTACTTGGTCTCTGCTTTTTATAACTTCTTTGACTCTTTTCCTTCTGTTGTTTTGTCTTCTAAAACTTCAATATGATAAGCTATGTTTTACCTAATTAAAATTTATTTTGTTACATTTAATAATGAATGGATGGATGGATGGATGAGTAAATGAGTGAATGAGTAAGTGAAAACTTTACTACATGAACAATTGAATTGTCAATTAACATGGTAGGAGAGGCAAAACAAGTACTTACAAGTAGAAGTCATGGTTTCCCTTTGACTGAGTGGGTCTTAAGTCGAATTAGAGAGCTGTTCATTAGCATCACATCAAAGCTGGGAAAAGCTGGTGGTTGCTTCTCTTTTTTGGAAACTTGCTGGGACCTTTAGAAACCATAATATGTAGTCCTCAGGGAGGGAATATTGCACATATTTCCAGCTCAGGAGTCTCTGGGCACTGTTTCTAAAGTAGCATGGTGTCTACAGCAATGGGGACTTCTATTTCTGGGGCCAGACAAGAACAATTACAAATAGGCTGTGTGTTTTGAGTCTTTTGGAGAGCCCTGTCCAACTACTCAAAAGGACTTCCCATGACTGACTGTTATTAAGATTTTAGTTAGTTGTTCTTCAGCACTTGGAGACAGGGCTGTCAGCTCATATAAATTCATTAAATCATATATGAAACTTCATGTACAGAATTACGTGAAGTTTGATTTTAAATAGTATGGTTCCTTATGTTTGTTTCAGACATAAAATTTTTCTGTTACCTTCCTTCCTCCTTCTGTTTGCACCTCCCTTCAACTTCCATTAGAAACAGCCCTTCCTTATTTCTCCTATCAGATAATTTATATTCTGTAGTTGTTTCAAGCATCTTTAGTGTTATGTTACCTTACTTACTCCCTCCTTCTTCAGTATTCACCTCCCTCAGGAACTCTCTTTCCTATTTCCCCTATCAGATCAATTGTGTCCTGCTATTTACCTTCATGCTCCTCACACCTGGTATCATATCTACTTCCTTCCACTTCCCTAAGAAGTACCTGAAGTACTAATCTAATTGGTGTTAGTAATAAAAACCTGGAGACAAATACTAGGGAGTAAAAGCTAAAAGATCAGAGAAGTAAAGTAGCCAGCCATTAAAGTTCTTACCTCTATGAAATCATCCGAAAGGACTGAGTTCCTGTCTTCTCCTGCTCTCTCCACCCAGCCACATTACTTTCTGCCTCCACCTCCCAAGTACTGGGATCAAAGGCATGAGAAACCAAGTGCTGGAATCAAAGGCATGTGCCAACACTGCCCAGCCTCTATCACTAACTAGTAGCTAGCTCTGCCCTCTGATTTTCAGGCAAATTTTATTTGAGCACAAACAAAATATCACCACAAGCATCTACTTTCTCATTATTTCTTTTATGATGAAAAGTTTCTGTACAAATTATCACTCATGTTACAGCTAACATTAATGCCACCATTCCAGTATAAAACATTCATAACCCAAAGCAGCAGTAAATATTTTAATTTACTAATTAGGAATATAGACAAGAGTTAATTTAATGTCATAAACAATCTGTAAGATATAATTAAAGATCAAATACTATCAGCACAGTAATCTTTACACTGAAATATATGCTACAAATGAAAATACAGTGTTCAACTCGAATATACAAAAAAATGCAAGCTTGACTTTAGTTACCAGAAATCTTATTCTGGTACAAGTTTTAATACCTTAAATTATAAGTTCTAAACCATTAACAATTGATTTCAGACTTACTTCTATATGAGCATTAGAACATATACCGCCTATTTTCAAAGAAATTGCTTAGTGGATGACTTAGGTGGAATTTCTATTGCTGTGAAGAGACACAGTGACCACAGTAACTCTTATAAAGGAAAACATTTAATTGGGGATGGCTTACATTTCCAGGGGTATTGTTCATTATCATCATGACAGGAAACATGGCAGTACTGTGGTAGAGAGGTAGCTGAGTTCTACATCCATATCAGCAGACAGCAGGAAGAGAGACACTGAGCCAACCTGGAGCATTTGAAACAGTGATACACTTCTTCCCACAAGGACACACCACTTAATACTGTCACTCCCTATGTGCCAGTGAGAGTCATTTACATTCAAAATACAAGAATGAATATAAGGTTTATTTCCGGGTAAAATGTTTTCAAATTCATACAAGTGTAGATTTTCCTGGTGTTACTCTCTGATGTTAAGGTTTGAACATTGGTTAGAAGCTTCTTTCTATTCTACTCATGCTAAAGATCATTTTTCTTGGGTGAACAGTGGGTTAGCATTATGCTTGAATCTGTCTCTTACCTAAATCTTATGTGTTCTAAATTTAGAATTGTGGTAATGGATTTCAAACACTCTTTACATCTCTAAGGTTTGTGTCCACTATGGATTCCATGGTGATACTTAAGATTTGAAAACCAGAGTCAGGCAGTGGTGGCACACACCTTTAATCTCGGCACTTGGGAGGCAGAGATATGGAGATCTCTGTGAGTTCAAGGCCGGTCTGGTCTATAAGAGCTTGTTCCATGACAGGCTTTAAACTCTGTCTCAAAAACCAAAAAAGTAAAATAAATAAATAAATAAATAAATAAATAAATAAATAAATAAGGGGTTTGAAAACCAGGTAATGGAATTTGAACATTTATAAAGGTTTTCTCATGAATGGATTTTTTGATGTTTTTGAAGAGTTGAGCCCACAGCAAAAGACTTGTCATAGCCTTTGCATTTGTAAAGTTTTTCTCCTGTATGGATTCTGTAGTGACTTTGGAGATGTGAGTGCTGGGTAAAGGTCTTGCCACAATCTGTACATTTGTAAGGTTTCTCTCCAGTGTGGATTCTATGATGAACTTGAAGAGTTGAGTCCCTGGTAAAGGATTTGCCACATGCTTTACATTTGAATGGTTTCTCTCCAGTATGGATTCTGCAATGAACTTGAAGATATGCTCTTTTGGTAAAAGACTTTACACACTCGTTACATTTGTAAGGTTTCAGTCTCCTATGTATTCTTAGATGAGTCTGAAGTTGTGAGTCCTGAGAAAAGGACTTGCCACAGTCTTTACATTTATAAGATTTCTCTCCTGTATGGGTCTTGCGATGTCTTCGAAGAGATGAGCTAAAGGAATAGGACTTACCACAATCTGTACATATGAAAGGTTTCTCTCCACTATGGAGTCTGTGGTGGGTTTCAAGAGCTGAGCCCTCAGCAAAACACTTGCCACATTCATTACATTTATAAGGTTTCTTTCTACTATGCATTTTGTAGTGAGTTTTAAGATAGGCACCCCAAGCAAAGGACTTGCCACACTCATTACATTTGTAAGATTTCTCTCCAGTATGGGTTCTGTGATGTTTTCGAAGACTTGAGCTGTTTGTAAAGGATTTGCCACAATCTGTACATTTGTAAGGTTTCTCTCCAGTATGTATTCTGTGATGAGCTCGAAGGTTTGATCCTTTGGCGAAGGACTTTCCACATTCTTTACATTTGTAAGGTTTCTCGCCAGTATGGACTCTGTAGTGGTTCTGAAGATGTGTGCTCAGGGTAAAGGACTTGCCACAATCTGTACATTTGTAAGGTTTCTCTCCAGTATGAATTCTCTGATGATCTTGAAGATTTGATCCTTTGGCAAATAACTTTCCACATTCTTTACATTTGTAAGGTTTCTCTCCAGTATGCACTCTGTGGTGGTTCTGAAGATGTGTGCGCAGGGTAAAGGACCTTCCACAATCTGTACATTTGTAAGGTTTCTCTCCAGTATGCACTCTGTAATGAACTTGAAGAGAAGAAGCATGAGTAAAGGACTTGCCACATTCTTTACATCTGTATGGTTTTTCTCCAGTATGGATTCTATGATGAATTTGTAGATATGATCCTGTGCAAAAAGTCCTTTCACATACTTTACATTTGTAACGTTTCTCCTCAGTATGGTTTGTATAATGCTTTCTAAGGCCTGAGAACTGGGGAAAGGACTTTCCACATTCTGTAAATTTGCATGCTTTTTCTCCACTAGGAAGCATCTTAATCCTGAGGCCTGAAGATCTGGAGCATTTCCCAGATTTCTTATATTTTTGACCAACAAAAAATCTTGAATGCCCTGTAAAATTTGAAGGAGGGGTAAACTCTGGTCTGTATACTTCATATTTCTGAGGTTTTTCTCCAGTATGGATTGACTCATTTTGAACATTTAAATGGAAATTGAAGGAATTATTACCTCCAATAAACAGGCATGGTTTTCTTCTAATATCATTTATATTATCCTTCTCTATGTTAGATGATTCAACTGAGACTTTACTGTACTTATCACATTCCTGTCTGTAAAATTCTCCTGTAATCCTAGTTTCAGTACAAGGACAATTTGATAACCCCTTTAAAATTTCATCCTGCTGCTTATTTTCGGATAAATTCTCTTGGCTTTGGTCCTGCTGGTGGAAAGGAGATAGTGTGCACTGACCAGAGACATCCATACATCTACCATTTTTGTAACAATTCTCCAGAAAACAATTACTTATGTGACCATCATTAGGAGTTACATGATGATTATACTTGGCCCATGAGTCATTACTTTGGTTAGTAATTCCTGTCAACTGACATTCAAGCCTCGCTGACACATTCTTATGTTGATCTAAATGCCAGAATTTGTCACAAAGTAGATTTAATTGCTCAGGAAGTTGTAAAGAATTTGGAGTCAAACATTTTTCACACTGAAAACACTGTACGTGTTTTTCTGTATTATTAACTCTATTTTCCTCACAAAGTGTTGAAGTACTACTTATTCCCATACTATATAAAAAATATCTCAAACATTCTGATCTATAACCACATATGTCACTTCCCAGTGTATTCACATTTCTCTGTAGAGTAAAGTAATGTTTCAAAAACTGATGTGAACATTTTCCTAGAAGAGGCTCCCACTGTGAATGCGAAAGTGGCCCAAGGTGAGCCCTGTCAGGAGAAGGTGAAGTTTCTCGATCTCCTCTGTTAGGAATGTCAGCAGTGAGTGTTGCATAAAGATCATATCCGTCAACACATAATTCATGCTCTTCATTGTCACCTGTACATTCCCAGAATTTCCTTACATGTAACTTTCTGAGGTTATTACTTTCAAATTGTCCTGATCCTTCTCTGTTGACAAATTCTTGTTTGTTCTCTGTTTTGAACAGCTCCTTGTTATGAAAGCACGATAGGGCTAGAAGAAAGAAAAGCAAATCATTATCTCACTTTGTGACCTTACATGAAAATAATATAAAAACATAATAAAAGAATGTGAAATCAGTACGGGGACTGTAGCAAGATGGTGCTACCCAAACTTCAGTTCTGCTGTCAGGAAACAAGTGTGCCAAACTTGAGGATTACAGGAGGATATCGTTTGGAAACATGTAACTTGTAATAAATGGAAAGGCTGGCATTGATTTTGTAGTGTAAAAGACAAATTTTTGCTGTGCTTAAACATGTCTAATATAAACTATTCAGGGCCAGGTTCCCAAAGTTCAAATCAACACCAGCTAATTAGTCGAGCTGACCCATACTGCCGTCTTGCTTCCTTGGATCATTAATCTCCTGGCATTGGTAGTTGCAGAGACATCTGTAACTTGAACCCAAAATGTAGAACTGGACCCTCAGAAGATAAGAAAAAATTTTAAATAAAAGTAGAGGTTATGAATTTGGTTCCACCATCCAATGTCTCACAAAGGTAAATAAGAGTTAAACAGTATGGGTTCTTCTTAATCCTTGAGGCAAAGTATTTCCTACAAATACTAAGAGGTTTGTTAAGACTCAGAGGAGCAAAATACTCAAAACAACAGCTCTTCAATTTCATACAAATAACTTTAAAATTCATTCTTTGGTTTCTGGAACAAAAAACCACTGATAGTGAAAACTACAAGTGCCCAGGAAGCAATATAAAAATTTTGGACAATTATTTTGCAATCTGGATGTGAGCAATTCATGGCTTGGACCCTTTCAGAAGGACTGTAAAATGAAAAACATCTGCTGTACACATCTTGACACCACAGGCTGACTGGACCCTACGGCTGCTCAGGCTTCCCTGTGGTTGCTGGGCCAGGCATTTGTGGGTTCACCCTCATGTGTGATCTGAGTAGAGACTGGCATAACCTGGGATCAGTGTAGCAATAAGCAGGTCTGTGCCTAAACACCAGGGATAGGTGGCTCTCCTGCCTCACAGTCTGACACAACACAGCAGATGGAGGGAGAAGGACCCAGTATTTTTGTAAGGGGTTTATAAAGACAAAAATCAAAAGACCACCACAAGATTACAATCTCAAAATACAGAATTACTTATTGCAATTGTCTAAAGGTTAGGTAAAGCTTAGCTGTTATTCTCTAATAGGCTGTCATTGCCTAGGGCGGGTTGTTCACTCATAACAACTGTCCCGTGGTCAAGTCCTCAGGATATCTGCTGACCCTTTGCTAACCACAGAGGCTGCTTGAAAACTTATCTGATTGGTCCCTTGTTACTCAACTGATAGGGGAAGTTAGGTGGTCAGCATCATGTCAGTAGTTTTGTGTGACCTGGGTTTTTCCCATTAGCTAATACTTCCCTACAAAGGGGGCTAGCAACCCCTGGCTTTTCTCAGGGTTGTGGTGAAGTTCAAAGTCCCACAAGGTCCCAGGATCAAAATGGAATCCGTTCTGGCCTCGCAACAAGAAATCATAGATTGGATAATGATAAGAAGGACAACTTATTGGTACAGAGCCTAAACAAATCATTGAGCCAATTAAATAATTGCAGGCTGATTGTTTCACACTGGCAGGAAGTAATGGCACGTTGTTACTCAGGATCTATAGATAACCATTATCAGCAAGATCTTTCAAGACTTTTTGAAGATATGCCATGAATAACATATAAAATTATGTCTTAAAAAGTCTAGAGATTGCTCTTACAGATGGCTCTTCAAAAGGACAAGGAGCTTGTATTTTATATATAAATTCTACATCCGCCACAAAAAATAAAAAACCCACACCTGACTACACAGCTCAACGGTATAAACATACTATAATCAATCAGCTTTTCTTAGATGTTTCTCAGTTATTGAATATTTTGACTCTGCACACTGTGTTCAAAGTATTTCTTTCCTAGAAACTTCAAGACTTACATCCACCCACACTAACAATGTTATTTCACAATTATTTCTCTCCTCTTTCAGGCATCTATAAGACAATGGTTTCAAGAGTTGTTTCATAACTTATATTCATACTTATTCTAAGTTTCCAAGTTTGTTAATACTTAATTCTCATCTAATACTCAAGCTGATGTATATCAGTAATATACATCACTTAAAGTAAACACTTTAAACAATGTATGTGATATTAATAATGTTACTATAATCCTTCATATTCCACATAATCAAGCTATTATAGAACAACATGACACCATCAAATATTTAAACAGCAAATTTTAAAAATAAAGGGTATAAAGTCACCTAAATCAGCACATACTATGGTATATGCAGCTATCTCAACTTTAAATGTTTTTACTTTAAAGGTTAGTTCTTTTTCTTTGGCCCAAAGTATTTGGCACTAAAAAAGATAGAGCTTAAGGTATATTAAAACTGTAAAAATCAAGAAACTAATCAAAAGAAAGAATACGATGTCCTGCTAACATTCAGGAGAGGTTATACTGCTTCTTTCCAGGAAATCAAAGTCCTAGTTGGTACCTACTCTGATGCATTCAACCAGAACTGCACCCTGGAAACCAGTAGACAAAACACATGAAGACTGAAAACAATCATATCAAGAGGAGACAACCCAACAGGAAGAAGATGATGACTTGTGGTGACAAAAGAACACAATACTATGGACCCCCAAATATGATACTCTACAGACTCCAAATGCTTTCTTTCTTTTTCTTTTTCTTTTTTTTTCTTCTTTTGGTCACAGGGGATAAATGCTATTCCTGGAATAGACAGTAAGATGTTGTCTGTCATGGTAAGGATTGTTTTTATGCTTTTTGATTATCGGTCCCAAGAGTGATTACTGGTATAGTAATAAAAGTTTAAAACATGGCCATATGATTAGAAAAAGTACTAAAATTACAACAGATATATCATTGGAAACTAATAAAACTGTGGGTAAAATGAGAATGGTAGGAAGATAAGGCCTACAAGGCCGAAAGATGAGCCAACCTGAGTGCCTAACAGCAGGCACTGTCAGAGACCCTGATCATGCCTAGCCAATGAGGGGTGACCACAGGATGTCAGTGGACTAGAATGTAAACAGGGTGCTGGGAGGAGGAACCACAAGGCTCTCCTCGCTGCTGAATAAATGAGTTTGCTGTTTGCCTTTTACTTGACTCCTGGTCTCTATGTCATTGATAGGGTGGCTTCTCAATCTCACCCCCAAAGGAGTCTCTAAGACCCTGCAACATCTGGCATTTGAACAGGTTCTAGTTGTCTCCTTCTCACTTGCGGCAATGGACAGCACCCCCAAGATGGTGTATTTCAGTCAGGAGCTCCATCAATATTGTGTGGTTTTGGTCCCTTTGTCAGGTAAAATGTTGAGACCCCATTTCTTTCCTTCCTTGATGTCTGTCATGTTTTTCTGCCAGTATGGTTATAAAAACGCATTTTTTGTTTCAGTTCACCAAGCACCTCCACATAAGGGCTGACCCCCAGGAGGTAGAACAAAGGCTTGGCTGCCAAACATCTCTCATGCAAAGATACCATGCTGGCATACAGCCATGACCTAAAAAACCAAGGAAGTCCCTGACTAAGCCTAAAACATGAAGGTCCGACAAAATTTTCCACCCCTGTTAACTGCCATCATCTCTCTGCTGTCTCCCTCAAAATGGGTAACCTCGTAATCACCCCACCCACCCCCCTTCCATAACTGATCGCTCTTTGGCATCCAATGAGGAGGAGACAGGCAGCCCTGCAAAAAAATGCTAAGGAGAGCACAACCACAGTTAGGACTGCAAAAGCCACTTCCCTGTCAGCTCTGTTCCTGCTGTGGGGAACAGCACTTCTCCTGAGGCACTCTTGGAGGGAAGTGCTTCAATGTCCACCTGCCCCTGATGGTGAAAACTCCCTCACACTATGGCATGAGCCCTAGCCGCTACAGTCCCTGTGCACCCCCCAGTAATCTCAGGCCTCAAAGGCCAGCAGAAGCCTTTCCGGTCAACCTGGGACAGAAAGCTGTTAATCAGTCCTAGATTGCACCCCAACAGGTGGACTCTCCCATATCCGGAAGGTGTCTAATGTCTCAGGTAGCGTAGTGGAGAGTAGACCTTGGCCCCACTAGGGAAATATTACTCAGACAATTGATTTGGGAAGGCCTTACTGTCCCCACATGCAATGCAGTTGCAGCAGTCCTCAATGCGAATATTTGCATGTGAGAACTGGACACAAGAGAATATGGCATTTTAAATGTTTTAATAACTTAGGATTTTTCATGACAATGAGACACGTCTGATCCTGGCAGCACTAATCTACTTCAAGAGGAAGATGGGCATCAAAGAGGCTCCTTATGGAGTTGGTTAGCCATTTGGGCAAGAAATTGTTCTTGCCTGGACTATTGCATAAACTAGACACAGAGAACCCGCAGAGAGAGGACTGCTGAACTTGCTAAAGGTGAGATGGTCCTTCGGGGTTCCTGACTCATGAAAGAGTCTGCAAGAATTTCTGCAGGACACAGCAAAAACTGACTGAACTCTCTTTGAAATTTCCTGCTTCATGGAAATGTCTGCTGGATACTATGGGCCTGAAGGCCAAAGA